GTCACATAATGAGCCTGCACACAAGCCCCATTTCGGGGGCCCGACGGTTGCTGGGGCCCCCCAGGCCGCACGCCCTTCGGACATGTGCCCTGCAGGCCCACGGCCGGCTCTAGAGCCGCAGGATTCAATAAGGGAGCATTTATTTATTTATTTTTGCTGTCCTATTTTTATCTGTTCAGGCGTCGTTTCGAACTTGCAGTTCGTCCGAACAGACTTTTGGTTTGTTCGGACAAAGGCCGCATTTTGGGCCTTGTACGGTCCCAAGCGGGCCCTTTTCGGGCCAGGTCCGTTATTGTCCAGTTATGGACACTCTCTGCTGCATGAGTAGTAGTGTTACATGCCCAGTTAGGCAATGTATGTCAAGCCAAGGATTCACAATGTGATAAAAAGGATTGAATGGACAATGCGATGTTAGTGGAATCTCAACAAGCAATGTACATCCTGATACATACAAATGGCACTTTGTAGCGCCGTGGAAGACTTAGATATAAGCCCTAACTTGACCGGCACTGACCTCTCTCACGTAGTACAAGACAGCGCAGCGGAATGCTAGAATACCATTGACTAGCCCAATCAATGTCGCAATGCAGACCAAACATACATCATCCTCATCACAAAGTGTGAAGGGGCCTGGCGCCACGCACAGGAAGAATGCGCCAGGTCCAGACCATACACAGACGAAGAGGAGGGGATCAGACGAAGAAGAGGGGGGAAGATGGAAATGCCGTCAACACCAAGTCTTCGGTACAAGTCCCAGATAATCCCCCATCAAATGTTTGAAGCCCAATGTCGAGTCTGGATCCAAATGTCACCAATCCTGCTCTCTCTCGTAGTCTGCTGATGCAGTGAAGTCAGGTAGCGAGAGGGTGAGAGGGAGATGGTGGACTGAGAAGAGGAAGAAGAAGAACTCTCTCTCTCTCTCTCTCATGTGCCAGGTACTAACCTGTGAAGATGGCGCTGTGCTGCAGGTACCTCGAAGACGAAGCTGGAGCTATGGTGCTGCAGGTAAGTTTCTCTGGCCTCCGCCCAATCTCTCTCTCTCTCCAATACTACTCTAGCTCCTACTAGCGCCCAACGTTGAAGACTTACTGCTAACGCTACTACTACTACTACAGCGCTCCTCTAGAGTGCTGCTGCCGAATCGTGAAGACTACCTCCCGCCTCTTGAACTGCACGTGAAGTGCCTGGGAAGTCCCTATGAACTACCTGCAGCCTGCAGGACGGGCCAGTCTTATATAGTGCTGGCTCGTCTAGGAGGCTGCTCTTGCCAATGCCAAAACGTGCCAGACCCTGGCGTTGAAGCTCAAACAAAGGTTGTCTTGAAAACAGGCCCAAAATGGCCTGTGCTAAAACCCTGGTCTGGTTCCTGAGTTTCAGGGCAGGTCGATCTTATGAGGGCCTGAGAATGGCCCTCCGTTTCAGGCTGAAAAGACTCAGGGCCTGGAGGCCCTGTTTTAGGCTGAAACAACACAGGGCTTGTAGGCCTTTGTTGTCAAGCTTTCAGGCTGAAACGATAGAGAGCCTGTAGGCCCTTGTTTTTAGGCTTCTAGGCTGAAAAGGACACAGGGCCTGTAGACCCTTGTTTTCAGGCTTTTAGGCTGAAAACAACACAGGGCCTGAAAATGGCCCCCGTTTCAGGCGCAGCATGTTGCAGGCGTAGCATGTAACATCCCCCCCTCCTTATGAAGTCAAGCCGGGTCGAGGGTGAAGTTGACGATCTGAAGGTGGAACGTGGACGCGGGTGCGACGTGGAGCTGAAGATACCGGCTTGCTTTGCATCTTGCGTTCATAGCGTGCGACAACATCTGGAGTTGTTGCTTGGAGTTCCGCACGGGTCAACCAACGGTCAACTTTGTGGGTGCAGTACGCAAAGTGTACCAAGTATTCGGTCGGCCTGTTGCCGTAGAGTCGCTGGGAGATGATGTCGCCGACCTCTTGAAAACCGTCCATAGAGGGTGGGTCTTGCGATCGTCACCCGAGAAAATCATCATGTTTCGCTGGCGTGTAAAGCGCCAACTTGGAGCAATGAAAGATCGGGTAGACAGGCAAGTGGGCGAGCACCTAAATGGTGAAGGAAGGTCCTTCGGGTGCATCCGCAGCGGGTGCCACGATCGGCCAGGGCCATATCCATTTCAGGAGGAGCTTGCGAGAGAGATCTTGTTCGAGGCTGAACCGTGGCGGAAACCCAAACGAGATTGCCGACGCGGAATGGGCAAGGAAGACGCTGGCGATTGGCCTGTTGGCTCATGCGTTGCTGCGTCTTAGCCATCTGGTCGCTTGCCTTGACAAGTAGCTCTTTCATCCGACGCAATAAAAGAAGATGGTCGTCGCTCTCGGCCGCTTGTGGAATGATTGTGTCCAACGGGGAAGTGACCGGCGAGCCGTGCTCGAACTCGAAGGGCGACATCCCGATAGTCGGGTGGATGGACGAGTTGTATGCCAACTCGACATCCAGCAGCCGCTCAACCCAATCCTTTTGGTCGGGACGTATGAGAGTGCGAAGGAGGACTTGTGCGGTCTGATGCGCCCTTTCCGTTTGGCCATCCGTTTGGGGGTGGCGAGCCGAACTCGGCTTGAGAGATGAGCCCCATCATTTGATGGGCGCCAACCAAAAATCGGACATGAACCGAGTGTCGTGGTTGCAGACGATTTCCTTGGGGTAACCCTTGGTTCAAATCCAACCGGTGTAAAGAACCTCGGCCAACTCCAGTGCCTTGGCATGATAGCGGCAAGGCAAAAACATGGCGAACTTGGTGAGTCGGTCGACCACCGTGAGAATCCCATCCACACCGATCTTGTGCTTGGGGAATGGCCCGGTAATGTCCATGGCAATCGCTTCCCTTCGGTGCTAGGGGACCGGTAATGGTCGCAACTCGCCTCACGGACAATGGTTGCGGGATTTGCAGCGTCGGCAAACCTCGCATGACTCGCAATAGCGTGTGACGTCGCCAAGAAGGCCAGGCCACCAAAACCGCTCGCGAAGTCGGCCAATCGTGTGATTGACTCCAAAGTGTCCGGTGGCGGGAGCATCGTGGAACTCGCCAAGAAGCCGTGTACGCAAGTGAGAGTCACTCGGTACGCAAAGAAGGTCCTTCCCCGGCGTGTGGACAAGCAAGTACCCCTCTTGGATCCGGTAGTGAGAGGGCGCCGGATTAGGAGAGGAGCAATTCTAGTACTTGTCGCGAAACTCGGGGTCGGCTTGGTAGCCGCGTCAGACCCTAACACGGGCCACGACAGGTGAGCACACCCAATCCACGAGGTCGATGTGCGCTCCTGCTGGAGACCGTAAGTGAAATCCCCACGTACCCCCGCTGTGCAGCGAACATGAGAAGTCTGACAATCTCCCATAGCTCCTGTCTTCGTCACCTTCGCGGGCTGACCCTGACAACAGTGTCAGGGAAGGAGACCCCCCCAAAAACCTCCATATCAAAGATCAAGGGGCAGAACCCCCAATCGGTCTCGTCAGGTATGGTGCAGCATCCGGATCCCACCCGCCGATGGCCCCCACATATCACGCTCTCCTTCCTCCACCGAACTAGGATTCCTGACAGAAGTCAAGTGAGACCAGCAACGACCAGGAGCATATCACTGCTCCCTCGGCACGCCCCCCTAACACCCCAGTGTACTTCCCTGCGCCGCCATGGTCACGCCAGCGCCAAGTTTTGGCAAATGAAGCAGACAGATTTTGTCGGCCCCGTGAGCGATCCCCCAACGCCCGAATGCCGCCACTCGGGCGGCGCGTTAGCGCAGGGTTACCGCTGTGCTAACGCACCGCAGCCTTTTGCCACGGTAACAACCCTTGCCTCCGGGTCAGATCGAAATTCTTTACCAAAATTTTAAAATAAAGATTATAAACCTTTTTTTTTTTTTTTTTTCGGCCCAGCTTGGCAAGTGGTCCCGGGCCACTCTGGTAGCCTAGATTATGGGGAACCCTGTAGCCGCCAGCCCGAGTTCAAGCCTCCAACGAGGGAACATGCGGGGGCTGCACCCGACCTGCAGGTGGGCGATAGTGGCCAGGGGTCAGCCGGTACCATCAGGACCGAGCTTCTTCGATGGGCCAGTCACTGTGCCTCCCCTCCGGTCCCCATCCTCTATATGAACGCCAGCAGTCACTACTCAATACTTTCCTGGCCAACAACCTTGGCGCCCGCCACCTAGAGATAGCCTGTGGGGCAGTTTTGTGCCCACTGAGATGTGCCCGAATCCACCCCTCTTTCTTATTCTTTTTTTTTTTTTTTTTTTTTTCCCTGGACGCTCTACTAGTCGGGGTCATAAGAGCAGCCTCCCCTAGTAGGCCCATTCCTGGCCGCTCTGTCTATTGGTGGCTAGCTTCACCTGCTGGAAATCAGGTCTACTGTCCCTGAGAACATAAACTGAGTTTGAGACTTTGAGTGAATTTCAGCGATCCATGGCTGCTACTCAGGAGCCATTGCAGGCTACATGTGACCCTGAGATTGCTTCCTGCTCCTCTTCGCCCTTCCACTGGGGCGTCATGTGTTCTATTGAGTACTAGCGCTCTGCATTCTAGACGGAGACTGACTGTGGTTGTTCCCAGTTGCATCCTTCTGCGAGTTAACCCTTAATCCTGGACCCTGACGTCTGACCCCTGATTCCTTATCCCGTGTCCAACCATTCCATGTTGAGTTCGAGTGCTCTGCATTCTAGACTGAGACTGAGGGCGAGATCCCACTAGCAAAGATGATTGTAGTAAGTGTCTGAATTTGGACGTGTTGTGGACAGGTGCAAAAATTTGTGATTGATCTACTTTTCTGCATCTCTGTGTGGAACACGTCCAGATTCAGCGTCTTATTCAAATCTTCTTTGCCACTGGTATCAGGCCCTGTCTGTGGTTGCTGCTGGTTGTGCCCTCTACTGCGAGTTAAACCTTAAACCCTGAACCCTGAGTGTTGGCCCCTGCACCCTCATACCTGTGTCCTACCAACTTTGTTGTTGTTGTTTTTTGTTGTTTTTTCTTTTTCTTTTAATAACCCCTTTGTACTCGGTCCATTCCATACCACTCCAGCTCCACCAGAGAATGAGCTGGGGGTGGGAACATATCAGGGAAGTCCCCTGGGGGTTGTAACGGGATGGAAGCGTCCAGCTTGGTCCATTCATTAAATCTCGTTTTTTTTTTGTGTTTTTCTTTTTTTCACTTAAAAAGAAAAACAAAACTCCCTTCTGGATGCTAGGGGTGCCGATATGAGCAGACACCACTAGTAGCGTAGGGGAGGCTCCATCCATTGGTGGGGAGCAGCACCTGCTGGAAAACGGGTCCAGCGTCCCTGCACAATGACTTGCCCGCAGTGAGATCTTACATAACTTTTTGCTACCTGCCGGCATTGATTTCCCTGGGGACCCAGGGGAATAAATGCGCAGGAGTAGTAGGGGGGAAGGGAGTAGCCTCTTCAGCCCTGTAACCAGGCGCCTGATTCATTTAATCTCAGGCAGTAGTCTCTGATTATCCTCTGGCTGTCCCTCTCCCTTTCTTGCTTCCCTTTCCAATCCACTTTCCCTATCCTTCCCCCTTGGGTAACCCCCAGCCAGCATGAGTTGAATCTGGCCTTACCTTTGAATTTGGTGGCCTCACCAAAGGGTGTCTATGAGGTATAAGCGGGGTTCATAAGGGCTTGAAGGGGCTTACATGGACTTAAAGGGGTATGATATAATTTTAAATTTACTAATTTAGTCTTTTTTTTTTTTTTTTTTTTTCGGATTCTATAACGAGTTTCGTGGTGACCCTCAGCCGAAAGTTGTTTGATTTACTATTCTGCATGACAGAGTTTTTTTTTTCAGGTTTTTTTTTTTTTTTTTTT